AATAAAACCAGGTCTAAGTTACAGTCCCAAGGGCTCAAATAGAAAGTAAATATTTAGAAAATGGCAATGGCAACATATGTACAAATATGCTTGATACACTTGATGTATGGAATGTTATGAGAACTGTAAGAGCCCCCAATAAAATAATAATAATGAAAAAAAAAGGTCTAGTTGGCAGGGAATTCTGTTAAAATCTGAGAATTGAGTAAACCTATTACCCTGAGTTTTCTTAGGTTGACATACCGTGTGGAAATACTATGGTAATTTATCTCTCTACCAATCATACATATGATAGCTTACTACCCAGCAGCCTGACCTTCAAAGGATTTTTACTTTAATAGTTACCATTTGCCAATATAATCAGCAAAGAATGGCACTTTGTTCATTTAAAATTTTATTTCATTATTAATACAACTTTTTAAAAGGTTGCCGTTTTGTTTATTAGTCATTTCCTGGTCCATTTATAGATTATGTATGTTTTGTCCATATTTTTTCTTATTGGGACTCATGGGTTCCTCAATATTGCATAGGTATTTTATAGAAGGATGGGACCAGGATGGTCCAATGATTAGATTTCTGTTGCTAACCAAAACATGGAGGCCTTGAACCCCTCTGTGGCTCCGTGGGAAAAAGATGTGGCAGGCTGCTGACTTAAACGTTGACAGGCTGCTGACTTAAACGTTGGCAGCCTTGGAACCTCTGTGGAGCAGTTCTGCTCTATAGGCTGGCTGTGAGTCGCAACTGATTGGCTGGCAAAGAGTTTGATAGAGAAAATATTAGCCACTTGACATTTATAATTGTTACAAACACATGTCCCTGTTATTTGCCTTCAATTGTGTGCAGTTATCATTGATCTAGAGATCTTACACTTTGAAGTCAAGGCTTCAATTATCTTCCTTTGTAGTACTAACCTTTGGCAACATTCTCCAGAAGGATTTTTTGTTTTGTTTTGTTAAATAAATAGGACTATTTCCCCAACATCTCCTCTATCATTTTATCATTAATATTTAAGTGTACAATCTACTTAGTTAATTTTATTATGTGATATATAGTAAATAACTTTTCATTCTCCACGTACTTGAAATGACCCCTCTGTCACATAATAAATTCTCATTTATTTGTGATTCTATACTTTTGATTTCATCCCATTGAAAATTAATCTTGCTATGCATTGGGCTTTTGAGCACAAGGTCAGGAGTTTGAAACCACCATTCACTCTGTGTGAAAATGATAGGGCTTCTACTCCCATTAAAAGTTAGTCTCAGAAACTCACAGGGGCAATTCTACCCTGTTCTGTAGGGTCACTATGAGTCAAAATCAACTAAATTAAAATGAGATTTTTTTTGTTTGTTTGTTTTTGCATAAATTACAACAAAATTTACTATATCCACAGACTTTTTTTCTAATCTTCATAAATAAGCTATATGACCAAATATAATTGTGTTGTAGTTGTAGTTAAATTTCAATGATTTATATACCTGCGTATATTTGAACTGGTGTAATGGGTAATGCTATGTTTCAACATGGCTAGGCCATGATTTTCCAGGATTTGGCAGACAGTATGTAATCATATTCCATTCAGTCATCTGATATAAACAGGCAATCCATTGAAAGGGAAGTTTGCTGGTGGGTGTTGCCTATATTCATGATATATATATATATATATATATAAAATGTTCTGACACAACTGCTCTCACTAGACCCTGCATCTAGCCCATAGTCAAATGTCCAAACAGCCACTTTGGCATGGGCTAGCAGCCTCCTGCCTGACCTACAGGTGTGTCAGGCTTGTCATCCCTGCAACCACTTGAGTCAGAAGCTTCAGCTTCCCTCCTGACCCACACATTTGGGACTTCACAGCCTCTGAAATTGTGTGAGTCATTTCTTTGAAATAACTCTTTCCTTATAGAAGACTGAATAGAAAAATATTCATTGTAGGATTGCAGTACACATAGATGGGTTTATTCCAAAGAAAACGTGTCTAAACATGTCTCTATGATCAGTGTATGACTGCAGACACGTTTCTTCAGTAGGACACTTGTCTCAGTCATCATAGCCTTCAAAACAAAGGTTCCATCAGAAAGTAGTTCCCACCAGGATCTGCTGGGTTAGTTCAAGCAGAGACGTTAGTTCAGAACATTATGGTGACTGTGGTTTTTGGATTTCAAAAGGGTAATACTAATAGATGTTCTCAATGGACCCAGAATAATCATAGGGGCTTCCTATGATAAAATTTGAAGAACACTGAAAACTGCATTGTTGAGAAAAAGGCAGGAAAGTTTCATCAAAGGATTTTTGTTTTCATCATGATCATGCATCTGCTCATTTGGAGAGTAACAGGACCATTCCATGGTAATTTCTTTGGAAAACCTTACCTATCCACCCTCCAGCTCCAATCTTGTCCCTGAAGAGTTCTTTGTCATCCCAAACTCAAAAAATATCAACAAGGAATAAGATTTGAGCCCCTGAAGGATGCCTAGCCCACTGTCTCAGTGTGGTGTAAGTTGAAGAGTGAAGGATTTTGCAAGAAAGAGCTAGATAGATGGAAACACTGCCTTTAAGTAGTGTGTATACCCATGTGGAGGATATATTGAGAAACAGCATTTTCACATTGATATTTATGTTTAATAAACGTTTTTATGATTTGGTGGCAATACTTTATGTATATTAGATACACATTGCTGGTTTTGATTCTCTGAAGAACCTGGCCTAAGAAAACTGGCAAAATATCTCTATAGTATAGAATGTATTGAAAGAGGAATGATTTTTAATTGAGATTATTTATTGTGAAGAAATCCAGTCAATGGGCATTTGAGATCAGGTTTCCAAACTTTCAAAATTGAGACTAGACCCCAATATCTACAAAATCAACAATTCTGTCTTGCTAAGTGGGTGCTTGTGGAAGCACTAGTCTAGATGTGGTGCTAGATGCTGATGCATTTCATCAGTTAAATATGCTATACAAGATCTCTTGAAAGTGCTGAAAATCAAGGATGTTACTACGAGGGCTAAGGTGCACCTGAACCAAGCCAAAGTTTCAACTGCCTCATAGGCATGTTGAAGTTGAACACTGAATAAGGAAGACCAAAGAAGAATCAATGCATTTGCATTATTGTGCTAGAGAAGAGCATTGAAAGTACAATGAGCCGCCAAAAGAATCAGTCTTGGAAGAAGTACAACCAGAAAGTTCCTTAGAGGCAAGAATAGTGAGACTTCATCTCATGTACTATGGGCATGTGATTATCAGGAGAGACTACTTTAAGGAAAAAGACATCATGTTTGGTAAATTAGAGGGGCAGCAAAGAAGAGGAAGAGCCTTGATAAGATGGATTAATGCCTCAGCTCAAGTACTCCCTCAACACAAGAACACTTTGTTCTAATAATCTGGCAATTTATGAGGCTCACCTTCCTGACACGATCGCTGAAGACAAAATGGGTGCATAAGAAAATGTGGTGAAGAAAGCTGATGGTGCCTGGCTATCAAAAGATATAGCATCTGGGGTCTTAAAGGCTTGAAGATAAACAAGCAGCCATCTAGCTCAGAAGCAACAAAGCCCACATAGAAGAAGCACACCAGCCTGTGTGATCATGAGGTGTTGATCAATGGGATCAGGTATCAGGTATCTAAGACCCAAAATAAAACCATACCTGATGTGAATGAGGGGGGGCATGGGGTGGAGACCCAATGCCCATCTGTAGACAATTGGACATCCCCTCACAGAGGGGTGACAGGGAAGAGATGAGGCAGTCAGGGTGTAGTATAACACTGATGAAACACACAACTTTCCTCTAGTTCTTTGGTGCTTCCTTCACCCCACTATCATGACCTCAATTCTGCCTTATAAAATGGATTAGACCAGAACATGCACACTGGTACAGATAAGAGCCTGCAACACAGGGAATCCAGGATAGATCAACCCCTCAGGGCCATCAAGGAGAGTAGAGATATCAGGAGGATTAAGGGAAGGTTGAGGGAAAAAGGGGGAATCGATCATAAGGATCAAGTTATAACTGCCTCCCAGGAGGACAGATAACAGAAAAGTGGGTGAGTGGCGATGGAGGATGATGTAAGATATGAAAATAATAATCTAAAACTTATCAGGGTTTATGACAGAGGGTGGGTGGGGGAGAGAGGGGGAAGAAATGGGGAGGTAATATCAGGGGCTCAAGTGGGAAGAGAATGCTTTGAAAATGATGATGGTGGCATATGTGTAAATGTGCTTGAACATTGGAGGAATGCATGGATTGTGATGAGATGTCAGAGCCCCTATAAAAGTATTTTTTTAAATAGGGGAAAAAACCCTTTCTTTACTTATTATATTAAGGTCTAAAAGAAATGAATAAAAATAACTTACCCATGGGGTGGTGGGGAAGATGGATTAACAGTGTCTGCAACAATAGGCTCTGAGATTATATAACATGGCACAGGACTGGCCAGTGTTTTGTACATAGGGTCTGTTCCATTGTCCACAGGGTCTCTGGCACCTAACAACAGGCAGCTTGCCCTCTCTCTAGTTAACCATCTTGGTTTTTGTGTGTGTGTGTGTGTGTGCCTTTATTTCAAATATCAGTAGAGTCACACATGAAAATGTGGTTTCTTTACACAAGTTCTATAAAAGTTTAAATTAGCATGCAGACACAAAAAGTAAGGTGCTTAAGATGAATGATATAGTCATTTATGTCTCTATGGCATAAAATATATAAACAATCTTTAATAGTAGCTTTTTTGTATCAAAAAGTTAAATTATGTTCTATAATACTGCTACCCCTCTCTTCTTAAATACAGACAAACACACTCACAATCAACTAGTGCTTAACATTTGACAATTGAAACTTGGAGGGACACTGAAATAGAATACAATCAGCTGATCAGAAGATAAAAAAGTTTTGCCTTCAGGATGTTCCCACACACAGAATATTGTAGTAAACCCGCTATTAAATCTACCCACAGTAAGTTCAAAGGATTAAAATTTATACTGAGAAAGGGTCTTTACACATACCCTCACTCCTGTCACACCATTAGGTTCAAGTTTATTGCTAGACGTGAAATACATTTTTGCTCATTCTGCCCAACAATCTTGCCAAACAACTTTTTCTTCAAAAATATAGTCTGCTTATAGATCCTGCAAATAAAATAATCTTTAGTACCAAGAATGTTGTAAGGCATTAAGAGAACTTGGAAGAGTTTTATAGTCTAGCTTCTTTCAGAAGGAAGATTCGCTGTTTTGGGCAACTGAATCTTAGATTCTTCATCTCTGTGACACTATAATCAGGGCTACTTCGGACCTAAACTAAATAGCACTTATTATGAATGTTCACCTTTCAAAATTCATTTCTTCTTTCCAACTCCCAAAGCAGTCAACTAAGAAAGCTTTTTTATTGCTCTTTTTAATTCTTGAGTTCAATTTTAGTTCTTTGAACCAGTTCAGTGAATCTATCTCTGATGTTCTTCAGAAAAGTACATGGTGGTATCCTGACCAAATTCTCTCATAACGTTCTCAATTATTCCTGATTTACAGTGTACCAGAGTAATTGCATGAATCTCACTCAGGTGGGCGAATCAGAGGGAAACACATTGATATCGAGGCAGTTGGAAAGGCCCTGGGTAGAAGATGGAGGTGGCAGTTTGGGAGAAAAATAGGTCAGAAATTTTCATCAAGGTAACGGTCTGACTGCCTGTACTTCTTTATCTCATGCAACCCTCAACCTGACATTCTGGAGTTCCTTTATCTCAGTATTTTCTGAACTTAACCTGTATTGTGGCTGCACCTGTGTATATATATTGAAGGTGGGAGTTGAAGCAAATAGCTAAGATCAAATGACATGGCCTTGGGCTTTGCCATTTACTAAGGATGGGTTTTCAATAGTAAGAAACCTCAATTACATGTTAAAGCAAAATAATTACTGACAAGAGATTCTGGTTAAAGACCCATGACAATTGTTTTGGCCCAAAGTATTGTATAGGTATTTAAATAATATTTAACTATTGATCCCCTCAAGCAAGGCACAGTACTTGAACCCCTGTTGGCTCCAGATTCTTCACAGCAGAGACCATACAGGTTTAATCCTTGTCAGAGTTTGTAACATAGGAAATACAATAGTTTGCATCCTTACATACTCATATGTTGCCTAAGTATAATGCAGGTATGCATATGGATTTCTCAACCCTTGTATAAACTTATTGAGATGTTCTAATAGGGTACTAAAGCTTAAAGGGGGTTTCTATTTAGAACTAGATACTGCAATTTTAGCAGGCAGAGATTTGTGTGTGGTGGGGGTTAGGCACGACGAGATAAAAACACCTAGTCTGCAGCTGGGCCTCATATTCCTTTGTAGAACTCACTCTGGTGAGGAAGAAGGGCATCCTCCTCAGCAAAGCAACCACATCAGTAGATCCCAATGAGGGCAAAGTGGAGAGGCTGCAGTCACTGACATCTGGGCTTGACATGGAACAGCAGATATCATTTCTGGTTAAAAATAAATTCTCATCTTTCTGCAGTAAAATAGAATTTCTAGAGAGAGTTGTCTGTGATTGCTCACTTTCACCCAGATGAAAACAAAGGAAATAAAATAATGAGATGGCTCTGTCTCACACAACATTCTCTACTGTTAGGGCTCTGTCTCCCACAGCACTCTTTCTCTGCTAGGTTCTATGGTTTCATTGCATTGGCCACACAAAACGCACAGAGTGTTCATGGTTTAGGGTTTATTGTGTAGGCTAACAGGAGGAATTTCAGTTAACGGTAAGTCAAGTAGAAATACTCAGGGATGTTCAATGTTCAATCAGGAATGTTAAGAAATGCCCAAAAGGGCCTGCCACACTGCTGTCAGCCTCAATCCAAAGGCACTTAGCTCCAGCCCTGTGGGTCAGTAAACCCAGTTTGTTCATTATCTGCCCAGAGGCTCTTTGCTCCACAAGCCAGCCTCCTGCCCCAAAGCACTCAGCTCTACTTGCTTTGTGGGCTGGGAAGTCCACCACCCTGTCTTGCTCTGGTGCCTGGTGCTGTTGCTCTTTTTCTCTTGTTCCTCCACTCTCACAGCTGTCTTCTGGCTTAAGAAGGTCCACTGTGCAGGGATCTCAGAATTCAAGGACGCACTCTCTTCCCGGCTCTTGCTGGTAGTGAGAGTTCCCCACCCCTTACTTCTCAGATGGCTCATTGTATACACAGCTGGATGGCAATCACAATGAATCTTATGAAAATGCACTCACAACTGTGTCCTATCAGTATATTCGCTCACTTGCTCTGACTCAGATCCAGGAGGAAACCATCTTTTCGTTTGAGTTAAGAGAGTATGGCTCCAAGAGCCACATTAAATAATTTGATACCCTGCAGGGGAGATTGTGTTGATCAACTGGTATCACATTTATATATTTTCACTTTGTTCATATTTCTACTAAACAGTCCCATTTATATTTAAGCATCTGATATCATGAGTCCTCCACTATGGTTGAAGGATACAAGTGTCTTAAGAGGGCTCAAAACAGTTCTCTGTAAGTTCCTGAAGAAAGATGAGGAACTGTTACAACTCTGGAGCAACCAGTCAGTAGTAAAATAAAGACCTGAGCTGGGCAGAAAAGAAAATGGTTGGGGAGAAAAATTGGGTACAACTGAAAGTGTTGACTTTTCAGTGCTAATGGGAAATCCTGGTGGCTAAATTCAGTAGGCACTAGAGAAAAATATCTTGTGATACAGTTTTGGAAGTATTATCTCTTTCAATTTACTAATCAATCTCATCAATTCAGTTGGATTATTTAGGGACATGAAGTAAATGGTCCATACTTCAGCCCAAATTTAATTGAGGATATTTTTCAGAATGAAACAGAAATATCAGTTTAGAACCCTATTTCATTTTATAATTAAAATCAAAAGTTAGGTTTAGTTAATCATCTTCTGAAAGCATAACTTTCCCTATTATTTTGATTAACATTGTTTCTAAAATGTTATGGAACATGGAAAAGGAATATCAAACTAGGGCTCTTTCTATTGAATTGGGTGGTTAACTCTGAATGGAAGTTACAAGATTTTTTCTACAGAGAGGTCTGGTAAATAAATATTTTCATCGTTTTGAGATTGTATTTAACTATAAAATCAGCAGTATTGTCCACATAAACATTAGGTCCCCACACTTATTTGGATTGCTGCCTTTAAAAAAGAAAAATTACTCAGTGCCTCCCAGGCCATTAACAACTTTTTGTACTATAGCCTGTAATATAGGATAAAATATAGGTATCTGCTTTTCTAGCCCCATTCCCTCCATCATTCATTCCAGCATAGCCCCAGGGGAAACACTGACCTAAATAATTTATTTTACATACAAGGGGTATCTTAAAACACAAAACAACACCAGAATTGCGCTGGTTAAACCAGAGCTTTCTTTGTATGCATATTTTTCTCTAGGCAAGCATTGAGCAATTCATTCTGAGTTGGTGCACACAGTGGTGTCACCTGGGAAGGTTCTCTTTGGTCAGTGAATTTTTTCATAAAAGCAGTTTCTTTCAAACCTTGTTTTGCTTTTTTTTGTGGTTGATTTAGAGAACAGCATGAGGCTGTGAAATTTTGTTTCCTGTTCAGGAAAAATGCTGCAGAATCTGTTATGATGTTGACACAGCTTACAAGGGCAGCATATGGGAAAAACTCAAATGTATGAGTGGTGTTCTCATTTCAAAACAAAGGAGAAATGTTGAGTGATGATCAACCTTGTTCTGGATGGACAAAAATACTAACTCATAGTGCATATGAAGTTTGTTCCATCAAGTCAGACTGTTAACCAAGCTTTCTATTTATAGGTTAAAAATACAGTGTAACAGTGTTCAATAATACAGGCCTAATTTGTGGCAGACCGGAGACTGGTTTTGCCACAACAATGCACCTGCTCACACAGTCATCTCAGTGCTCCAGATTTGGGGCTAAATACAGCATGTCTCTCTTGCCCCATGCACCTTACTCAACTGACCTCACTGTGTGTGACTTCTTTTTGTTTCTGCAAATGAGGGATAGGAAAGGAAAGCGATTTGATATAGAAATGAGGGAGGTTGAGTTAGTTAATTGTGCCAACCTGGCCAATAATCACATGTGGTGCTGGTTGAAAGGCGGAGGGATAAATGGGTGGTGAAGCCTCACCTTTCTAGTTCTCGGGTCTCTTGTTTTGTGATGGTTGCATCGGGTGCAGCTGCCTTAGCAGTTCCCT